ATCTTAATCAATGAATTGAGATTTGGGGAACTTAAAGGAACTGTACACAAGTAAACATACATTTATCTTCCTACAGCATGACTCAAACATTCGAACAAGCATCTGCATCATCGGCATTAAATGAATCTTCAGCTAAATGTTTACACATCTCTTTTTCAAGTTCGAGCATCTTTTTCTTTAAAACTGAAGAAGAATGTATGTATATTGGAAAGTAAACCATGCAATTTCTCCACCTGGTCCAATCACAAGAAATGCCGATGACATAAATTTATAAAGCGCAATTAAGTGTCAGTCATTTGGCTATGGTGAAGTTAGCTAAGAACCTTGGCTGCGTCACTTTGACTTATAAACATTCACAGAAAATATTTCCCAAATAGTGGATAGAGCTAGCGATGTTTATTAGGAAGATTTAAACTTTCCATCGTGGATACCCAACATTTTGCATCTTTGACAAAACGTGAATGTATAAACGGTATTTGTTGACAAGAACTAACTTGACTATGCATGTTAATTATTTACAGGCAAGTTAGTTCATGTCAGAGTCAACATAGAATGTGTAACATATTTTATTTCAAAATACTTGCCCCTTAATCAATATTTGTCTCTGCTAGGGTACATGGTTTTGTGTCTGCTCCTTGTAAAATCAAGATCTGCACTTGTAATAATAATAGCGACAAAAGTGCAGGGCATCTCCAGAAATGGAATTTCTTTGCAACTTACTGTTCCATTTATTTTTATTTATTTTGATTGCTTGACTGACAAGCACTAGAAAAAAAGTGTAAACAATTTCATGCTTATATCTACAAAGGTTTGTGTTTATTAACACTTACAATAATTAACTACCGTAATTCATTCCTAGGTTTCACAGTATCCTTTTTATAATTTACTGCAGTTTAAGTAATGATCCGGGTAAGGTGGATGGCAATTTCTTTTGTTATGCGGCAACGGTGCTTTCCTCAGATAGGAATGTTCTCATTTTTACACAGAGAATGCGTAAACCTACATGAAGGCCGTTTACGCAATAAAATGCATTAACACTCCACTTTGAAAGGGTGGTTTTTTGTGTTAAATTATTTTGACCAATCACAAGAGTTAAAAACAATAGCCATGCAAGAAACGTTTACAATTTTACATGTTCCCCACATAGGATTTCTTTGTTATTCAAACTGAGACCAGATTTTGTTATATGGAAAATGGTTGGAAAGTAAGGATGAATTTATGTACTACTTTATGAAGTTTTGTTAACTTTTGCTGTTTAAGCCAATCAAAAGTAAGTACATACAATAGAAAAGTTAGCACCTTTTTTGCATTCCAACATGTTTGTTGCCGTTGTTGCTATCTTTCTTTTGTTGTTTATTGTTGCTCATAAAATAGTAAGATTTTTGTTACAAACACAGAGATTTTGTTATCTCTGCGTCCTGCATCCCTGACACATAAAAATCCCCAAAGATGCAAAATAAATCAAAGATCGGTTGATCGATCTGAAGATGTGTTCTTGTAGAATATCCTGTTCATGTGATTTCTGTGGTAGTTATTGTGGCTGTTGTTAAACAAGGCTTATTTCATTTAGCCTTTATTGTGCATTAAAATAGAAGAACTCTAAATAAATTTCAGTATACTGTACATGTAATACAGAGTTTTGAAGTCTGTCTTCAGATTAACTGTCTGGAGATTTTAACATAAAGGCAGAAGCATTTTCATATAGGACTCTGATCATTGTGTTTTGAAGTGGGACTTATTGGTACTAGCTGGCATGGACTTGGACTCATGATTTTTCACAAGATGAGTCCCAGGACTCACCATATGTATCTGTAGCAAAATCACTACAAACAATTTTCTACAAAGGACTTTCCGATTGTACCGTATTTTCTTAGTGAGATTCAAGGATCTAAAATGCTACACTAAACTTAATTGTACTATTTGCTAACTTGTTAAAAGCTAAAACATGTTTTGGCATCAATTGAATTCCAAAAAAAATGGTCCAGTTTTGTTATGCGAGACTATATTTATTAGTTTATCCTGTTGTCTAGCTACGAATGGCAAGGATGGACGTGTATTAAAACTTGAAAAAGCTGGGCCAACTTTTTCAAGTTTTAATGCTATAATGCCTGCAAAAATTACCATAAAAGTTATTATGGCTTAAATTAGTGCTCCCTGATGAAAATTTTGTTTGGATTTCTTCTTTAAAGTTCTAAAGAAGCATTTGTTTTATGGGTAAAGGGACTAAGTTCTGACGTAGCACAAAATAATTAACCTACAGTGTATACCACAATATCCTGATGACAAAAATGCATTGTCTGGTACTTGAACCAGAAAACAAGCTCGATCTGATAAATTATTGAGAATGCTGTAGTTTTGGGGTTGAACTGGGGTCAAACTATTATGGGATCGAGACTTTGAGTTGCCACTGTAACATGCAGAACAAATGAAAGTTGAGCATTTCAGTTTTTCACATTATTATTTATCACTGTTTGAGGCATTTGCTCAACGTAGGATGAAATTGTCCTCTCTTAACATTCATTCCAACCCTGGTCCATGTGAACTTAATTAGACTGCTTACAGCCTCCCATAAGATCATTAAGTTTAAGCACTTGCCTCAATGGTAGCCAACTAAGTTGCCAATGTACTGGTGTAACCCAGGGAAGAGTATCAATTCTAACCTGGGACTGCGGGTTGGGGAACTTTCCTCACATCACTGCAGCTTGCATTCAGGGGGCTTGACGGGAATCCTTCCCCTTATTCATTTACTTCTGTGAACTCTGATTCCATCTCCTCTTAGTACATTTGTATCCCAGATGTATGCAAGTTACAGCTAGAGTCTTCTTAAACTTGAGGATCTTATTGAATAATAGGAGACTGTCTAGTCTAATGTGAATTAACATCAACTTGTACAGGGTACAAAGAAAGTAAGTTTTACAGCTTGCCATTAGTTTGGGCTTATAGCATAATCCCACTCAGCAAAGGTAATTTCAACTTAGCGCCAAATACTTTTTGGTGAGCTGCATTGATTACACAGTTCTNATGTTTTGGCATCAATTGAATTCCAAAAAAAATGGTCCAGTTTTGTTATGCGAGACTATATTTATTAGTTTATCCTGTTGTCTAGCTACGAATGGCAAGGATGGACGTGTATTAAAACTTGAAAAAGCTGGGCCAACTTTTTCAAGTTTTAATGCTATAATGCCTGCAAAAATTACCATAAAAGTTATTATGGCTTAAATTAGTGCTCCCTGATGAAAATTTTGTTTGGATTTCTTCTTTAAAGTTCTAAAGAAGCATTTGTTTTATGGGTAAAGGGACTAAGTTCTGACGTAGCACAAAATAATTAACCTACAGTGTATACCACAATATCCTGATGACAAAAATGCATTGTCTGGTACTTGAACCAGAAAACAAGCTCGATCTGATAAATTATTGAGAATGCTGTAGTTTTGGGGTTGAACTGGGGTCAAACTATTATGGGATCGAGACTTTGAGTTGCCACTGTAACATGCAGAACAAATGAAAGTTGAGCATTTCAGTTTTTCACATTATTATTTATCACTGTTTGAGGCATTTGCTCAACGTAGGATGAAATTGTCCTCTCTTAACATTCATTCCAACCCTGGTCCATGTGAACTTAATTAGACTGCTTACAGCCTCCCATAAGATCATTAAGTTTAAGCACTTGCCTCAATGGTAGCCAACTAAGTTGCCAATGTACTGGTGTAACCCAGGGAAGAGTATCAATTCTAACCTGGGACTGCGGGTTGGGGAACTTTCCTCACATCACTGCAGCTTGCATTCAGGGGGCTTGACGGGAATCCTTCCCCTTATTCATTTACTTCTGTGAACTCTGATTCCATCTCCTCTTAGTACATTTGTATCCCAGATGTATGCAAGTTACAGCTAGAGTCTTCTTAAACTTGAGGATCTTATTGAATAATAGGAGACTGTCTAGTCTAATGTGAATTAACATCAACTTGTACAGGGTACAAAGAAAGTAAGTTTTACAGCTTGCCATTAGTTTGGGCTTATAGCATAATCCCACTCAGCAAAGGTAATTTCAACTTAGCGCCAAATACTTTTTGGTGAGCTGCATTGATTACACAGTTCTTATAGGCTGTAATTTGAATTCCTCAAAAAACTGCACTTGTACATCGGTCAAGTTAAGAATGAAATTCAGTAGCCCAATAGCAAAATCCACTAGCCCTGGGCTATTGGACACTACTTTCTTTTTGCATGCTGCTTAATGTACTGTAGCATGTTCATGGAGAGCATAACAATGTTATAGCAGTTATTGTCTGAATGGTAATAATTTCTGTTATTCACTACACTCTCATGTCTAATCCACATGTCAAATCTTATGCTAATCCAGTCTCCCCCAATTTTTTTGTTTCTCCATTCTGTTAGAATGTGGCTAGACCAGACTGTGCATGAGCAACTTGAAAAAAAGGAAAATAGGTGATTATCTAATGTGTTTATGTACAGTCTAAAAATACAGAGGAAGTGGGAAATTGACTGGGATGCCACCAAGGCCTTATAAAACTGTTCATTTCGCTACTCCATTTTAGACAAGAGATCCCCCAAACCGTTTAACTCTGTTCAGAGGCACGTAACCATGCATTTAGGCATTGCATCCCCCCTCTCACCCACATGTACACTTCACTCTCCCAAAGTTTACACCCTGTTCAAGGCAACATGCTGTTTGAGAGGCCAAATAGGAAAATTGTGTCTGTTTAAGGCTCTAAACCCCCAAAACCATACCCTGTTCAGTGGTGATACCCTTTATTTGGCCAAATAAGCTGGGAGTACTTCCCCTTGGGCTGCAATTAGACAGACGAGTGTAACTCTTCATTGCTTTTTTTTTTCTTCTTAGGTGTCCTTGTTGCTGCCGGAGATGTCATCACCCAGCAATTTGCTGAGCAAAGCGGCATAAATCATGACAGCTCGTATGGGAGTGGTTGGACTAGTTATTGGCCCTGTGCTAAGATCATGATATCTTACACTAGAAAGGATTGTCCCTGGGGCTGTAAAAACTGCGGGCTTTAAAAAGATGCTGCTGGATCAGAGTCTCTTTGCTCCTGTTATGATACGCTTCTTTTTCATTGTGTCAGAGACACTTGCTGGAAAACGACCGCATGAAATTAATGAGGTGCTCCAGGAATGCTACGTACAGACACTCATGATCACAAATTACAAGTTCTGGTTCCTTGCAGAGACTCTGAATTTTACTTTTGTTCCCATTCAGCACCGTATTTGTCCAAATTGTAGCAATATTTTGGAATGCATACCTAGCTGTCATGGATGGCTAACTAGCCATAACCTGATGCTGCAGCCTTAACTGTCAAGGACCCTTTGGAGCTGGTGCAGTGATGTGACTCACAGCACCTTCTGTATGGTTAGTTGATTCAGTAGAGCTGGTCAATATTTCCAATGCAATTACACTGTAAATACTAATATTGTTGTGATAACAATACTATATAAAATTATTTACAATTCAATGACACAAGTTATACAAAAGTGGTGTTTGAAATATTGGAATCACATTCTGATCAGACATTGATTGAGGTTGAGGATAAAAATTCACATCTACAGACAATCCTTCAACTAATTCAGTTCTATTAAAAAAAAAATCATAGTGTACCCTATTTATTCGATTAGCTGCCCTGGGCGCTTATTAAATTTTTGGACTTTGAGAGTGGGCGCTTATTCGAGGTGGGTGCTTATTCGAGGCCGGGCGCTTATTAAATTTTCAACATTTTTAGCAAGTGTAGTACGTTAATTTATTTTGCAACAAAACAATAAATGGTAACAACAAAACGCGAAGATGTAACAAAGCAAGGTCTCTTATTAAACCTTAATCAATTTTTTTTGGGGGGGGGGTGGGAGGAAAGTCGGTGAGGTGGGGGTGGGTACTTTATTGAGTTTGAGTGGGATCGGGAGGGAGGTGGGGTGGGGTGGGGTGGGCTCTTATTCGAGGCTGGTTGCTTATTAACTTTTTCTGCCTTTAGGATGGGCGTTTATTCGAGGTGGGCGCTAATTCGAGGTTAGGCACTTATTCGAATAAATACGGTAGATATCATTTACTACTTTGGTCCTAATTTGAAGTCACAAGAGAAAAAAATATAGTCTGTCACAATGCCCAAATATGAACAAGGTCAAATTTCAGCTTCTGATTATTTATTACTGCATGCTGCTGTTACCATTGCTTATTTATTTTCTTCAGGCATATTCAAGGGCTGGGTGGGAATGATTCTATTATGTATAAAGACTGGAGCAGCAAGCCTTTAGTAATTATTCTATTGCATGAGCAGTATTTCTGAGAAACTAAAGCAAATCAATTTTTAAACAAGGCATGGTTTAAATTTTACAAAGTTGTTTTTATTATCAGTTGATTATCACACACTGAACATTTTATTTTGAGAACTCTACAGGCAAGAAATAATAAATTATTAGAAGGCTGTTTTGAAAACGTTGTTGGAATGTTATTGTGTCGGAAGGAACAAACCAATCAGGTGCAGTCTGGAAAAAATAAAATACAATCAACAGTGGTGATTAGTTTCTGGTTTTGTGACTAGTTCACGGGAATTGTAATCATTGGTTCCAACACATGCTGCTCAAAATTGTTAGGTGCAGTTCATGGCCAGGTGTCCTAAATTTAATAGTAACGATATTTTTGCTGTGAAACAAATCACTTTGTGACAATAATATTAGGGGTCTTACTAGTTGGGGGAGGGGGGCTTACTAGTTGGGGGGTGGGGGGGGGAGGGGTGTAACCAATAGCAACAAACAAATTTTCTAGATTGACCTCCATACATTTTCTTAGAGAATAATTTGTTGAAAGATCAAAACATTTCCTTGATTGTGATCTTTTTGATAATTCTCATAACTTTTCCTTTTGACGATGTAGTGATGTTGTTAGGAGAAAATCGTTGTGGATCACTCAAAGGGGAGAGAGGGCTTATCAGAGAGGTTACACTAGGGGGAGGAGGGATGGCTTATAAATCTAGTGGGACCTCCAGTCCCACGTGTTCTGTACTCCAGCCAGGAGGGCCACCCCTCCTGATTCCCCTTAGTTCGATAGGGGATACGAGACCCGCCCCCGGAAACTTTTGTCAGGACTCCTGTCCAGGGTGGCTACCGCCGGTACCACTCAATCTTGTCTCTTCCCCGGAAGGACCTCTCTCCTGGTCCCCTTACCCTCTACATTTATAGTGCGACCGGAAAACCGTGAACACTTGAAATATTTCAGGAATGTTTATTGTGTTATGACCAATCACAGCAAAGATCAGCACACACGAACTAAGCCACAAAACCAGAAACTAATCAGCGTTCTTAGTTTTCTCACGCCCGATTAGCTTTTTTCTTGCAACACAATAATATTTCAGAAACATTTCTATTGTTCACGGTTTTCCCTGTTTGACTGGTGCTTCCCTGCCACCAGAATTTTGCCCATCACTTTCTCGTGTGTTTTCTGTTCGCTATCTGGCGTAGAACCTTTATGCAAAACCACTGCCGATTGGAAGAGTTTATTAATACAACGGCTTAGTTAATTCCAAGCGTGCCCATTCCCCTCCCCCGGGCATTTGTTGGGCATTTATCATTTTGTTTTGGAAAAGCGGCAAATGCCCCGCAGTGGGGCCGGGGGTTCATACAAATGCCGCACGGTGGGCTTAAAAAATGGGATGCAAACGCCCCACCCCGGGACAACACCAAAATTACATTCTCCAGTTAATAAGCTGCAGAATACCACATTTGTGGGAAATCTGTAATTGGTAAAATCCAACTAGTGGTCTATTATCAATGCTGCGTTCTGATTGGTTGAGCTACTACTAGGCTATATGTTATAGCCCCCTAGTAGCGAAAAGGGCGGGCTTTTTGGCGGCAAAAAGGATTAAAGTCTAGCTTTAACTACAATCAGGGACAAAAGTAGTTGACACACTTGTTTAAAACGGGTGCTTTTAGCAAATATTTAATTCATCTATTATTTCATTCTTTTTAAACGCCGTAAATCCCCTCACCCCCCGAATCAATGTTGTCTGA